TTGCTACGAGGGTACGCGCGCCATGAAAATCTGGCATATTCGGCGATATCCTTGACTGTTGCTGGTGACACGTGGAATATTCCTCTGGGCTGGGAGACGAGCATGTCGTTCTTAATAAACAGAAACGTAGCGTCTCTGTTATTGAAATAAATCCCGGGATAATCATCGTCAACATTTCCGAAGGGAATCTGGAGTGAGCCGCTAACAGGAGAGAGCGGTTGAGGAGGCGTACAGAAAGATAGAGAGAGAGAGAGGATGGTTGGATGGGGACCCGTGCACGATTGCCAGCCGCGTGCCGCCACCCTAAGGATTAAGCGCAATTATTGGAATCACTCCGGCAGACCACAACCCGTTTCACACGCTCCTTATATCCTTTCGTGCTGTTGCTCGAGAGTTTGCTCCGTTCGTAGTATCTCGAACGTTTCAAATACAAAGGAGGATTTCAAGTAAAACGAATGGCTGGTCCGTTGAAAATCAGCTCTCGCATCGATCGAATTCGACGAAGTGATTTTTAACTGAATTACAATTGAAAACGAGAAGGAGAACCATACATGTGATATGTTTCGTATCCCAAAGAGAATAAAATTTAATACAATACTGTAACTTATATGTATGTATATTATATATTATATGTATGTATATTAGATTTTAGAAATATCAATTTGTCCTTTCTCATTAGAATGATAATGAGACTCGCGTGTAACTGAGCGTGCAGCGTGAACGGATTGCAATAAAATGTCTAATGTTCAACGAAGAAACATTAATCGCGCCTTGCTTAATAGCCGGAATTCGCGACATGTTCAATATACTGGGTGTGGACAAATTTTCTGGTTTTTCCCAATGTTAAATCTTGGATACTAACACAGTTATCGCGGTAAAAATTGATTCTATTTTCTATCAAGTGAGAACGACAAACTTTTGTCATTCATATACAATTTATGGCATTTGTCTTGTGAAAATTTGTCAACCGTTAATTTCTTATAATATAATTAATGCTTCGAAATATAACTGTCAACACATAAATTCGATTTAAAAAATCATATATAATCGAGCAAATGTAGAGAATTCTTGGGACATTTGGTATATTATACTGTTCGAATTCGTGTAGCTGATATCTATGCATTTATGCATTCATGTAGTTAATTTCCAGCCGACTAAAGTCACGAAAGACAACCGCCTCTCTCTTTTCCCTCGTGTTACCTCGACGAAAGAAACGTGACACTCGATAGCGCGTGGTTGCGAAATCCGCGAACGAAAAACGCGCATTTCAACGAGTCACGCGTTTATATCGCATTAGCCTTGTGATTAGTCGTACAAAAGCCAGAACGAGGTAAGTGCACTCGGTATCTCCACCGAATGAATTGCCAAGCGTTGCACTTTTCTTGACTGAGTTACACGAGCTGACTCTGTTAAAGCGTGCGGTTATGGCAACGCTGACGTTCTTACTTCTCTGAATATTAAACACCAGTTACGAATTCCTCCCAAAGAAAGGAAGCGGATGTTTTGCTCTCGTTTTTTAGATCTTCAGATTCTTTCTCCGGCAGCTATTGAAATTCGTGATATCCTTTCACATGGAACCAAGGACAGGATCCATCGGACGCTTCGAAGCATTCTAGCTGCACAATGACGTCATCAAATGTCCGTGTAAAAAACGTGAAAAACGAAGCACTTGCAACGTTGAAAGGACCGCGTACGGAAAAAAAGTTGGGAACGAATTTACCTGACGATCGACGAACCAAACGTATGTCGGTTGAGAGAAACAGAATTTCTACTTATGAGAAACGAATATTGTTCATATTATGAATCAGAGATTCTATTTCCTTCAACCAAAACGTGTTCGTTCGTTCGTTCGGTTTGTTCGTTGTCAGGTAAATTCGACCAAACTTTTTTTCTTTGCACTATAAATCAACCCGTTTAGATTGAAAAGTTTTCACAACCTGCCTTTGTTCCTTTATAAAGAAGAAGTTTTTTTTAGATTTACATGTGTTTGATTTGAACTTGTTTGATATAAACAACAATCTAATATCAAGTATTAATTTGCTTGAATGAAAATGTTATTGTCTCACTAAAATGAACCGTGTTGTTTAATAGAAAAAAATACAGTATTATTTGAAGAAAAAATATGTGGTTTTCAATTTAAAAAAATTATTTCATTATATATTAAATATATTGTTTCACTAAAACAAAGAAATTCTTTCACATTTTTGTAAAATATATAATGTTATTTCTTTCAAATAATATATTATTTCTGACAACTATTGTAATGTCTGAAAAAAGATATTTTATTTGACATAAAGACATTTATTGTTTGAGAAACCAAACAATCCTGTTCGTTTTTCTGCTCCATTCCGAAAGACAAATCTGTCTTACTTAAAGAAACTTTATTAGATTCGAAGGTCATTGTACAATGTTATATTGTATCATAAAACTTCGGCAGGAATTTGAAAGTAACTCTTAGTTCCTATCAATTCGTATCGCCAGACATTTCGAGAAAATCCGTCGAATCATTAAGGCTCGGCCTCGCAACTTTGTCGGCGAATCGCCACCGCCCGGTGAACGCATTCCACGTGCGCGCACGTACACGTGGTGTCACAGTCTAACCGCTCGTCACACACGTCATCCCCTTGGGTGCGGCTTGGGTTTTGGCTTGCTATAACTCCGATAATTATGTTACCAATGCGTCGAAGGACAAAGAGCTCTCGAGCGACATGGATGGCTCGCTTGCTCGCGAGCGCGAACTAAAAGAGAGATGGTTGCCTGGTAGCCCAGCTGCCGGTAATCCTCCCTTTGTAATTTGCCTCTATGACCCCCCTCCCCTACCGACAATGGCGTCGATTTTCCGAGTAGATTTTACCTGGCCTCCTCGGGCTGTTGACGAGTACAGCTTTTACCTAAAACCTATTCTATTCTCCCATTAAAGACAGCCACATTATGATAGACGAGTAACGACAATAATATAAAATTAATTGTAGACTCAAATTAAATAAATTTGCTATTGAAATTGCTTCTCTCGCCGGAGGTTGCAAATGAAATGTTAAAAATATACGATTACTTAAAACAATTATCATATCCATTTCCAAGGGAAGGAACGACCGTCCCTGGACGGCTGGAAGAATCGGGAGAAGGGAACTCTCTTCTTACGACGGTAGATTTTAATCTTCCGATTCTCCCTTGCGAATCAGTGAATACGTAGGATTCCAGCTTCCAGGTGGTCTACGCCAATGACGGGCGGTTGATGTCACCGTGCCGTCGTGCCCTCCGGATAATAGAGTCCGCGACTTTAATGGACTCGCTAATCCTCTTCCCTGTTTGTCGGCGAGGGGCCACGCATTCACGGGATGCACGGAGGTAAGAATCGCCGATGGGGTGGTAGTACGGGGTGGTGTGACTGCGCGCGCGGTGCGTGCGCCTCTCTGTGTTGTGCGAAGCGAGGACTGCATTCGTACGAGCCATCACGGCTTGAAAGGGGGTGACACGCAAGGGAGGAAGGAGGAAGGGAATGATTACTCCTGCGGCCCGTTCTGCTGCGGAGTGATGACGCGCAGATACGCCTCTTGTGCGGAGCCATCGGTGCGATGATACCCTCGACCGGGCTGTGCGCGAGCATGCCCCGTATTTGTCGATAGAGAAATATGTTGTCGCGGCAGACTCGCCTAATAAAACCGTCTCTCGCGATGGGAGATAACAGTTTCCTGCCTACGTCGACCGCTCTCGTCTTACTAACCCTGGGACGGTTCATCCTGCGGGCACGCGCTGAGACGTATTATTCTGAAATTGCACTCGGACATTTCCCTTAATTTCCCTGCACAGCTCTGTGTGAATGATGCGTTAAGCGGAGATATTAGAAAGGTGCGTAATTAGACGGCAAACACGAGCTGAAATGTTAAATTCTACATTAAATTGAGAAAACGGAAATAAGTTCCCGTTTGCAGCATCAAAAGGGCACAGGTGTTTCTTTTATGCTAGAAAGGGAATTTAGTTTTCCAGAGTCTAAATTTTAGTTCTGCATTAAGTCTTCAAGCGGAGAAAACGGCAGTAATCTCCTCATTTGTAACGCCAAAGAAGCACAGTAGAAGGTCTTTGAACACTTAGTGTGGAATTAAATTAGATTTAAAATAGGAAAAAATTTCGACTCGGGAAAGAGCATCCTAATCTGAAATAGATCTTTAAACTTCAGGTATGACAGTTTAAAACACATCCCGATATAGAAAATTTCTTGAGATCTAATCGTGATCCGTAGCCCGATTTCTTCAAATAATTATGAATTCTAGTTGGGAAACCTACGCGGGTTCTCTCTGATCAGAAGTGTAATATTTCAGACGATATGATTCTAAGTGGGATACGTAAACAGATCTTATTTCTTTTCTGGGACAACTTTGGAATTTTTATTCTAATCGGAATCTATGCTGCATATGGGAAAATCTGGGAGAATTTCTACGCAGGATTTGATTCGTCGAATCGTTGAATTGAACAAATTGAAGAGAATTTATTGATACAAACTTCCTTTCGACCATTTCACACGTGCGATATATATTCCCGAAATTTACAAATCAGTATGAAAATCTCGCCGCGACTGATTTGTGTGAAACGCATAAACCGATATGAGATGGAAATGTGAGCCATGAAATGTGAGCCGTGAAAGCGATTTGACACAAATTATTATATAAATACAATTTCAGTTCAAACGCTGAACGTACTTTCCGTTACGACTATTCAGAAAGCGAGTGACAATTTCGAAACAAATTTTCCCACCTATTCATCTTGATTTCCAATACTCGGTGCGTAAGCGAAAATTTACCACTAATGACCTCGTATTTCGCATTCCGCCGACCGCTTGTGATAGGCGTCACAAGCGCATTACGAATTCCTCCGATTGCAGAAATTAGATGGTAAGCAATGAACGAAATGATGCATGACGACGGATGACACGACGCTCGACGACAATCTCACGGAAGCGTATACGACACCATATCGACGCTGATATTCGTCGCTGGTCCGTATTATCCTTGATGCTGCGGAACCGCGTTACCCAGGCTCTGCTGAAGCTGCACGAGCTGTTGGAGCTGCGGCGGCAGATTTTTCGAGTACTGGTAATTCGGCTCGACGTTTTGTTGTTGCGGCAACGGCTGCAGCTGCCGTGCTTGCGGCTGGGGATAATTTCCGCGGTACTGAGGAGTGTACTGTTGCTGCGGCTGCTTGGCAGCGGCCGGCGGTGTGTACGAGGCCGGTCTCACGGGGATCTGCTTGTAAGTTGGCTGGGCAGGCGCTTGGCCGATCTGTACTTTCGGCTGATACGAATTCACCTGAGCTTGGCTTATGTACTGTGGTTCGATAGGCTTGGAGGGCGACAGATTTGGCACCGGTACCGGCGGAAGATGGACAATCGGATCGCGCGCCGCCTGAGACGCTAATATCTGCTGGATCGCCGCGGGTGCCTGATTGAGAGTTCGCACGCTTCCGTGTTGCCTCCGTGTACGGATGTGACCTGCGAGAAACGGTCAAAAGAGACTTGTAGATGTTCCCGTCACTTGACAGAAGATATTCTCGAAATCGGAGAAAAAATTTCTACGAAAAAATTAATATCACAATTCAAGATTCATATATTCTTACTGGTGTACGAAAACAAATTTTGAATTAATACTAATTTTTTCTCTCTATTCTCTATATGTATAAGAAAGGAAAAGTATTATTGGAACGAAGTATTCCTTGAATATGCTGTATTACTCACTGTGATATTCCGCCCCCAGCACGGGCGCTACGACGAGTATTAAGAACTGAAACACGATAAGAAGATGATAACGTTTTTATGTCTCGATAAGGGAGAATATGCGTTTTACTCGCGTAAATTTTATCGATAGAAATCGGAAGAACACACGCAGTATGTAATTCAACGAACGTCGCAAAACTATCTTAGAAAGCGTTAAGTTGAATAATTACGATCAGCAATGCAAACGTTTCATTTACGATATCTCGCTTGGTGAGATAATTAATTATGCATTGTGTATAGCTAATTAACGATTGTTAATTATTGATATGACAAGTCGAATATTGCGAAAATTGAGCCGAACGCATTCGAAAAATTTGAAAACACTTACGATACTTGCTCGATTGAACTTAATTTACACTGGGAGAATCGAGATTGCTCTGAAACATTTTCACGACATCACCCCTGTGACGTGTTACTCTCTACTAATTTCATATAATGATCCTCGATAAAGTAATAAAGGGAAAAGGAATGCGGCAGATTTTACAGCAGGTTCGTTTCTCGTGAGACGAAGCTAAACTGACCGGCTTTTACGACGTGCAATTTCGTCGGCCATCGAGATCTAACGGTTCGTCTTCCTCCGAATACAGCATAAGAGGATCCACCCCGAATTCAGGGACGGCAGAGCAATCCGCAAAAGAAAGAGCCGCGTTTGAAAACAAGAAAGAATCAATGGTCAAGGGAACGATAAAATTTGTTTAGGTGTTACTTTTACAACCACGATGATTCAACATATCAAAAGTCAATATCTCCGGTGCAAAGGCGGCTTGCACGAGCAAACCGTGAAGCCGTTCGCCAATATTGAATCCTTTGCATGCGATATTCGGGGAAACAATGAGGCGATGCGTTTGCTTCGTAGAACACAGTCCGTTTCGCATTTCGCGTTATGTATTTCCACCATTTTACCAACATCCATCCTCTCTCGTTCTCTCTTTTCCCCTTTCGCGCGCGACTTTTCACACGACAATTAGCGAGAGCGATCGCGAGCTCTTTTTCTTCCCCGATTATGCGGGCCGGATAAAATCACGGTGATTTTACGATCGGCTCCCGAGATTGGAAAGCAAAAGAGAGCACTCGCTCGGACATCGCTCGGCGAGCGGATTCCGCGAAACGGCTTTGATCACGTCCGGCGCACTTTCTCCCCGTGAAATTTCGCGGGAGAGACCGTCAGGGTCGGCGCGGCCGATCGCGGTCGCGAGGAACTTACGAGGAATCTCATGATGCTGCACGATGATATCCGGAGGGCGGCGGGACAAAACTGACGGCCGCGTCGCGACGCACTTCTATATGGAGCCGGCGGTCGTGGGCCCAGGCCGCTTCGTCGGCCACCACCAGCTTTCACGGTTGGTCGGGTTTCGTGCGATTTTTTCGTCGCAGCTCCCCCGCCCGCCGTCACGTAACTCAATGCAACGAACCATTGCGCCGTGCTGCCGCAATGGAGGCGAGTCAGGAAGTGACCGGGAAGGTATATGCTTGTGTGTACGGCTGGAAAAGTCAGAGCGCAAAACGCATTTGTCCTCCTTCGCGCGCGAACTTTGAGGAACGCGAGAAGGGAATTTCGCTCTGGCGTTTACGCTATTGGCTGAATTCGAGATTGCAAATAGCGTGATTGACTCGATTGTGCAATCGAGTTAATTAATGAACGCACGGAATTAATGAGCGAGGAAGCGCGCACGCTGCGTGCTCGTTACTTAAGCGAATCCATTCCGGATCTACCAGGAAGTGATTTTTTTATCGTACTATCGCGAGTATGAGAATATGTGCGTGGAGTATCAGGGGAGAGGATATTAGTCTCGAATAAACAAGATCTAATTCAAGATCGTATAGAGCCGTTTATGTAATGCTTTCGCATTATATCGTACATTACAACGGCGATACCATTACGTGAAAGTGGCTCGGCCGCCTCCCTTTCCTTCATTTTCATTACGACTCGCCGGATCGCTTACAATTGCACGGTTTCTTCGCGCACTGTTTTCCAAGCCGCCGATTACAGAGAGCAGAAACTGAGAACCGCCCGTGTACATTATGTCATCTGTTATTTGGAGGCACGTGTGTGAACACTGTTCGTCGCACGTTTTCTCTCTCGATGGTGAAAATCGAGCGACAGCTCCATCATTCCATTTTACAATGCTTAAACTCCACCAACGTGATTATTCTTGTTAGTAATCCTCCTTCTTTTGCAACTTATTGTATTACAAAACAGATAATTTTGCAACCAAATCTTTTGAAATATGATATTTTGTTTGCAATTTTTATTTCGCAATCGACAAGCAATCGTAATTATTTGTGTCACACACAGAGAGAGAAGATTGGGTAGGAAGTAAAAAATATTTATTCAGTGGATGTTAACAAATCAATAAATTTATAAGAACAGATAACAGGTTGATAACAGATTTGTAAAAAAAGCAGCAAAACCGACATAGATGTGGTAAATCGACATACATATGTTTCTTGGCTGCGAAGTACTAAACTCTACCGGACAATATATGAACATGGTTTGGAGATCCCTGGTCTGAATGTTTCGATCTTACTCGGTCCTATTTATATAAAAATTAATTATTTGTAGTGCAGAATTGCAGGAATTTGTAATAATTTTCATAAGATCATCATACATTTTGGTTAAAGCAGTTATTGCTGGTTCACGCATCCATGCATGTAAATTTTTATTTTACACCTTGACTTTAGGACCCAAAACTTTAGGACCAAAATAATATATTGATTTTAACGCTTTTCTTCCAACATATTCATTTAAATGTTTTTCTAAATTCTCTCATTTAAATGGAATAAACAACTGCTTTCGTGAGTAGCGTTCTTATGAAAATGAATATTTTCTTATTTGAACAAACATTTTTCCAATGTAAAAACGTGTATATTGGAAATAAATATGCTATTAGTACCCGGCGAAAGAATATTTCCGTATTTCTTAGATATCTCTTTTCTCTCAGTACGGAGAGTCTTATATCTCTCAAGGAACACAATTGCGAATTCTACTTATAATTAATATTCCCGATACTGCATTATAAACGCGGAGCGTTAGCTTAGAGGGCTGTTAGTCCCCTGGCGGGTGCAGGCGCACGTATTGCTCGTTCGCCAATTCCACATCCACGATAGAAACGTGGCATTCTGCGTGCGCACGCGCGAAGGTGCACGCTAATAGATATCGATATAATAGAAAGGGCTACGCATACGTGTACCCGATCACGTAACGGTGAAGTCGGCTGATGCAGGAAACGCGGCTTCCGTATTCGCTCGCGAACCGACACCGTTCGTTCGTTCGCAAATCGCGAGCACCGTTTAAGTGCTTCGCCGCAGCGGAACACGGTGTCGCATTTTGCGGGGACCGTATCGTGAAATTGAAATACATCCCTATAAGCGTGCAATATTCCTAGAATCTTATATGAACGTTACTAAATATTAAAATAATATTCTTATAATATTCTATGAATTTTATGTAATATTTTTTAATATTACAGGAATGTTCTATGAATATTATTTGTTCACTTCACATAATAATCTTGGTATATAATAAAAATGTTCTTAAAATATTTAAAAAAATAATAATAATACAGAAAAATATATATAAATAAAAAATATATATATTACGTATA